TTCAATCCACATTCAATAAATAGAAATCATGGTGAATTTTTTCCATGAAAACTCCCGCATTACAGCACAACGTTGCAGGTTATTACAACAGCAACTATTACTACCACCGCCACTACTATTAGCACTACTACTACTACTACTACTACTACTACTACTACTACTACTACTACTACTACTACTACACTGCAACACTTGGGTGACAGGTCCATGAAGGGATATTGATCAGTGATGTAAAGGTTTGAATATCTCCCAATCTTTTCTGTATTTGCAAGAATCAACCCTTCTTCCGCGTTCAGATTTATTGAGTCTCCACCAAGCACCTCTTCATGCGTGCACCAAACACACTACTCACAAATGTAAGTAGCACCGCGGTACACCACTGTTTTCGTGTGCAACATAATTGNCCTGGAAAATGAGTTAAACGCTGAAAGTTATCATTTAATCACATAGGAATGGTGCTAATGGTTTCAAGCCATTGAAAGACGATTTGTAAACAATCCGATATACCCGAAGTAAAATGATAATAATATCAATAATTATAATCGGAAGTGAAGTGAACATTTTTCGAACACAGCAAAACTTTAACACTTTTAAATCGTCATATCCAGTCACGAGAAATAATTTGCTGTGGTGAATTGCTAAACCAACCAGGAATCACATAAAAAATATGGGACTTTTGGGTCCGGAAATTAAATTGTTATCTAAATCCAGCTCCTAGGACGGAGTTCACGGAATCCTGCCACGTCCCACGCACGCTCGTGACACCCAAGGCAGGTCGAATCAGGATTGGACGACCGTAGAACAAGTCAGACAGCTGTTGTCCAATCGACCGATCAGAACGTCAAGGACGCAGTCCGATTGGTCTGCCACTATGGTGTTCTTGTACACCCAGTTGACCCTTTTTATTTGCCCACCGCACATTGTTGATGGGGTTCGAGTAGGAGACACTCGCGTCGAACGTACGATGTCACTACAAGTCTCGCTGTTTTGATCCGTACTATACGATCAATTATTAGCACGTAAAGATTTGAGTGTAGAAAATCATGCTAAGACCATAGGTCATCACAACCAAATGGAAGTTCCTAAAGCATCGTGTTATTTACGCATGTTGCAGATCATCCATCGTAATGTGTTGTGCAATAGAATGCACAATACTAGGAGAATGAGGTTTGTTCAACTTGCCGGTGTCTTCGGAGTTCAATGCAAATTGGATTCATTGATTGGCAGTTGTTGTTACATCAAATTACACTTAATAATGACCGGTTCCATGTGGAATGCAGACATTCCGTCAGTTTTCGTCACAAGTATCAGGTTCACAAACGACCGGTGTTATGTGTTGCTATTGGATTATGGAAATGATCATGACACTCACAAACACTTGCAAAAAATTACGTTTAAAAAGCCACTGGAGTACATAATTAGAACTCAAATTGGCAAACAAGCTCGTTTCCAGTGTGTCTTA